CCCGCATGGTGCTCCTGCCCCGGGGCGACCGAGCTTCTCCCCCCTTCTCCTTGCCTGGGCTTTCAGCCTTGAAGTACTGAAACAACCTTAAGCTTTTACGCGCAAACTTTTTTTTGCAACTTTACGAACTTTCATCACGTTCAAACCGTAGCGAAACCCGTGAACGAAACGTTGCCCCTGTGGCAGACCTGTCAGTACAGATCTCTGTGAGGGATTAGGGGGCTGCTCGACTGGTTTCATAACTGAAACGTGGTTAAAATATCTCAATAATAAACTGAAGAATTGCCTAATAATCTGCATGGCAATCTGTTGTCATGGTTGCTATTCGGGGGATTTTATTCTGAAGTGCTGTGTTTCTCTTCTCTTGTAGATGAAAATGAGGCAGAGAGACCAGAGGAAGAAAAAGCTAGGTGAGTATCTTGACATCCGGAAGTGCTGTACCATGGCTGTGCAAAAATTATGTTCGTTACATTCTTCTTCCCAGCTGCTTAAAAGTCCCTAGCATCTGAACACACTCTGGTATCTTTGAAAATCCTCTTAAGATAGTATGTTTTGTCTGTTGGAATGACTTGGCTTTTTTTGTGAAATGGTTTTACCTGTGAAATTGGGACATGTAAGTATGAGAGTTATTTTAGCTGTATGGACAGCAGTAGCACCTCACAAAACGCCGACAGATCTTTTATTTCTGTAGTCATTGTGCTCTGCAGTCTTAGTAATGCATTGCAACTTCACTTGTTCTAGATAATTTAGAAATTAAAAGACAGGCAGACTCCCAAAGAGTTTACAGCGTAGTTGTGAAATGAGGAATGCAAGGAGGCCCTGGAGGATTACCAACTAATTTGATGGGTAGGACTGCTTAGGATCTTGAGGTTGTTTTTTATTTTAATTGGTAAGAGACTATTTCAAAGAAATTTAGCAAAAGATTGATTTATAAGGAGTTGCATGAGAGAAAGATGCTCCTTTGAAAATCTAGCTAAATCAGTGGAGGTTTGTAGCAAGGACTGACTGGAAGTAAGAATCAACCTCTCATACTGATTGAAAGAAGTCTTACAGTTGATAAACTATGGAAATTGTTGATTGTTGAGATAATTAAACAAATAATGAGGAAGTCAATGCAAAAAAAAAATTTCCTATAAAAGCTTCCACTTAGCTGAGTTGGTTTTTTTCAATGAAAGCTCTTGAATTTGGTTACCCTTGGTGGACCTCTTATCCGTGAGCTTGCTCAGTTGCTTTTCTGAACTCACATCAACTTTTGACAGGCACAGTGTGATACAGCAGTAGTGACCTCTACCACATATTGTATCGTTTTGGAGCAGCTACTAGCTGGAATGATTGATTCCCATTAGTTCTGGTACTATAAGGAAGAGTTGTTTACTGTCAACTTTTCCATGTCGCTTAACAGTTCTATAGATGTTTGTTGCATTCACTTTGAATCATCTCTTTGCCAGGGCAAAGGATTCCAATTACTTATTTGCTCTTTATTTGGAAGCTATTCCATATCAGTTGATTCTTTGTATTCAGTTACCTTTTCTTGACCCAACACCTTTTGTCAGTATTACCGTTTAAGAAAATTACTTGCATGGCAACAAAAATTATCTTTAGAAACAGTGATGTCTTACTCCATTTCTGGTCATTAGTGTCTAGCATGGCATTTGACTGCCTCAGTATGTAGCTGTGGACTAAAAAGCATAACAAATGGTAGTTTGTGCATCTTATGAGTTGGGTTTGGAACTCTCAAAGTGTGGCGACAGATTACCTGTTAAAAGTTTAGGTCTCTGGCCTTTTTGATATTCTTGATATATATAAAAATCATGAGATTTTGTTCAGATTCTGTAGCTGGGCTGTCATTTTACTGGGTGATGAAGGGAGATGGTCAAGCTGAATCCTGGGGTCCTACCTGCGCTCTGTTGGGTTTTGTTGCAGCACTCATGAAAGGGTATTTTGCCAACAGAAGACAGGATCAAAATCATTCTGTTCAATAAAAAATTGGCAGCTGCTCACTCCATTTCAGAAATATCTTTCCAGAAAAAGGATATTGTTTCTAAATGGCTCACTGCTTACTCTGCTTTCTGTGATGCAACATCCTAACACTTAATGGAACTGTAGCAATTAAAATATTGCTGCGTTAGGAATGGCAATAGGTAAGCCCAGTGAGACAGCTTATTTCCTTGGATTTGACAGTGCTGGTCATTTTAGATGGACCAGTAGTTTTGAAATTTTTACAGTTTTGAGTCTACAGGTAAAATACAATTTAATTCATTGTCGAATTGTAGCTATTCCATATGGTGGTAGAAAATTTCACAATGCAGATGTGGGAGTTCTGACTCAGTGCAGCATTAGCTGTGGGTTTCAAAATGTTTTTTCTATTATGTCTCTGAAAACATTTAGACTGTGGGGAAGAAAAACAACCTGTTACTCTCCACATATTATGAAAGATTTCACTTCGATTTCAAATGAGGATCCAGGTGTAGTGCTTTATTACTTCCAACTATTTTGCAAACATCCAGTTAGTGTAATTTATCATAGCTAAATGTTATCCTGTTAATAAAAAGTCTTATTCATCTGGATTTTTAAAAATAAATTAATTTTAAAAAGTAATACAAAAGATAGCTGGAACTTTAGGTCTTCTCTGGAAGGAATGATATAGCAAGGCTTTTTTTCACCATTTGCTGACATGTGTGAAATGATATATGCATAAATACCTAGTTTCATTTTTTCCTGTTTGTTTTTGTTTAAGTGTTCCACCCCCACCTGGAAGTGAAGAGGAAGCGTCAGAAAATGGCGTTGTGAAAACGGTAGTTTTAAATGTGTTTTCGAAATATTCCTATATTTTTTTTTATTATTTATGGGATATTTGTAATTTGTCTAGGACTTATAATTAAGTGAATTAATGCGTAAGTGTATGCCTTTGATTTTTTTTTTTTTCTGAAGGGTGTTTGACACTATCTGCAGAAATCGTAGAAATTACTAAATTAGGAAATCCAATTTCCGACTGCTGCATACCTTATTAAATCTAACTTTCAGGAAATATAGTACTTCCTTTTCTTTTTGCGAGGGAAAGACAGTGCTTTAAGACAGCTGTCTTTTCTCAACAACATCCTTTTCAAAATAACTCATTTTTCCCTCACTGATAGGAAAATAAAATCTGCTGATAATTTTTCTTTTCTGAATGCAATAAACAGTGTTTGCAGAACAACATGAAAGTAGGGATCAAGAGATTAATTACATGTTCCTTTCAGAGGCAACATAACAGACTTTTTTGTAGTAGTCTTCAATGTTCAATGTGTCTTAAAACTTCAATGTCAGTGAAGGAAAGGACCAGGAAATTAAATTTACAGTTGCAAACAGGTGATAGAAGGCCTCAGCTTACTGTAAATGGGAACAGTATAAATCTGTTCTATGAAAACATTGTAATTTTCCTTCACTGGGATTTCGTAGTGTATACCTTGCAAGAATTCTCTTAAGTGATGCAGAAACCATCATCATGATGGTTGTGCAAGTTTTAAGGACTGACCTCTCTCAAAAGTATTTTTTCACTAAGTCTAATACTTTATTTAGAAAAGATAATACAACTTATTTAAAGTTGGGGGGAAAAGACTTAAATCCTAAATTATTTCACTTACTTAAACTAAAAATATCTTTATTGTAAATGCGGCAAAGGCTTTCTGTGCCAAGGCTAAAACTCTAACTTGGCAGTAGGCTTAATATGTTAGGTAAAAGGAGACAATGGTATACTTTTTTGGACTTGCCTATTTAAAAATACTTCTGAAAGTCATCATTGGTGCACCTTTCTTGTACTTGTATATCTTTGTATTCTTCATCTCTACAAAGCCTAGCATTGTTAGAATATCATCAGAATATCTCCGTAAAATTGAGAACTTCATGATAAAAAGTGCACACAAAGGGTTGGCAGCATCTTAGAAAAATGGATCCCATTCAAGTGGATTAAGGAAAAATAAGTATTTCTGTGAGAGGGGAGCTAATAAATCACTGTTCATAAGTGAAACTGGTTTTGGCTGAAAAGGTACGTGCTCCCAACAAAACTTTGTTTTCTGTTCCATGTATTTGTAATCACAGAATTTCAGGGGTTGGAAGGGACCTCGAAAGATCATCTAGTCCAGCCCCCCTGCCAGAGCAGGATCACCTACAGTAGGTCACACAGGAACGCATCCAGGCGGGTTTTGAAAGTCTCTGGAGAAGGAGACTCCACAACCTCCCTGGGCAGCCTGTGCCAGTGCTCTGTCACCCTCACAGGGAAAAAGTTTTCCCTAATGTTTTGTGTGGGTTGCTGGTGTGTAAGAGGGATGGAGTTGTACTTTACAACCATGGGACATTGAAAGACTTATCTTCTGTCTTGAGTTGTCATTAGAGAATATATATTTTGATCTGGATCAGCCTCTTGACTAGTGTCTTAATTGTTATGTAAATGGTGTAAATGTTGTATGGCGAAGATGAACTGCACTCCAACACTGAACTATGCAGCAGCTTATGTTTGTCTTATGTACCAGGCAAGTTAATAGATGATGTAATAGGTAAGGGCTAGAGCTCAGTTGTGCTTGGATAACTGCAGGCTACCTGAGCAGAGTCAACCTGACTTAGGTACGTTCAGCCTCTTACTGAAGGACTCAGCAAGTATGTGAATAAGGGTGACTGGCAGATAAAGTTCACTTGGATTCCACAAAGTTTTTGAAAATGTTCCTCACTTAAAAGGATTTTAAGAAAACTAAACAGCTGTAGGATGAGTTTTATACGTGTATTTGATGTCAAAAAGATACAAAACAAAGGGTGGACATAAAGTTTCAGTTTTCACAGTGAAGGAAGGTCACCTCTGTGGAGATTCTTGGGATGTTGTGTGTAATCTGTGCTGTTTAATGTGTTTATGAACTACTTAGAAAGGGGATAAGTTGTGGGATCACAAGTTTTCTGATGTTACGAAATTATTCAAGATAGCAGGAGCAAGGGCTATCTGTGAAAAACTGACTGGTTAATAAATGGTTGTTGAAATTCTGTATAGAACAAGAAGAGTGATGTTCATGGGAGGAAAAATAGGTTTACAAATACAGTGGTGGTCTCTGAGCTGATCATTACCACTTAGGAGGGCGCTAAGGTATGTAGAAAGATCCATGAAATTGATGGTTAAGTGCTTGTCTAGAGTCAAAAAAGCAGTTAAACCTTGGGATGTAGCAGAAAATAGAGAATAGATGACAGGAGAGTAGAAAACAGAAAATTAACAGAGAAATGGAAGATACAGTTAGACAGTAAATTCATGGTTCAGTTGCACTCTGAATTCTGTGTGCTGTTCAGTTCTCCTCACGTCGTAAAGGCTTTACTTCAGCTGAAAAAAAGATGAGAAAAGGAGTAAGAGTAACCAAGGTAGCTTCCATATGAGGAATGGCTGAATAGCAAGGGCTTCTCAGTCTGAGAGACAGGAATGTGTAGGTTATCATGGAGGGTAATGAAATCGTGTGGAGACTATAAATAAGGATTGACTCCGTGCAGTTCCTCCCATGTGAGAACTGGGGCTGTTAAATGAAAGTTGTAGGAGCCAGGATGAAAACAAGTAAAAAGAGTTTGGCTCTTCACGCAGTAGACAGTGCTATGGAACTCCTTGCTAAAGAGAGTGTCGCTGCTGGGAGTTTATGCGAGTCCAAGGGAAGTCTGGGCAAGTACTTGTGAGAAAGATCCATTGCAGGTTACTACATAGACAAGCCATGACTGCCTTAGGAAATGCCCTGAGCTGATGATAATCCGCAGCTAAAAGAGTGTTGGGGAGGAGCATCGTATGAGCTGGCCTTATTCTTTCTCACTCCTCTGGTCTCTGGGAGGAGAAAACCCAAACACCAAACTAACCCACAAACGCTAGACTAGATGAACACTTGGTGTGAACTGACATAACCTGAAAGCTTGAATGCTGTGGGACAGGGTAGCATGCAGTGTGCTGTTGTAGCTGTGCTTTTCCACCTGATCAATGAAAAATCTCAAGTATTTTATATTGCTTACTGATGTTAGGATCTGAACAGATTTCTCCAAACTGCAGTGTTTGTATACTACTGGAAAAACACTTATTTGAGTTATTCTGGATATGTAATTGAGGATGGCAAGAAGCTAGTTTTGCGTACCTTTCTTTCTTTCGTGACAAGAGTAAAACCGGTGTGTATGAGCTGGATAGGGAGAGGAAAGGTATTAGATAGTGGAAACTATTTTAGGCTTATTTGGGAAATGTCATGTTTCAGAAACAAGAGCTTAGTATTAAAGATACTTCCCTATTTTGATCCAGATGTTTTGGATACATGTAGTATTTCAGCAGATGAACCTCCTAAATGTACTGTTATTGCCACTGGGTTCTGAGGTTTAGGAAAAGGAGAGTTTTCATATTTCAGAGATTTCTAGACTGGATAGTTTTGGCTGGATTACTTTTCCGCTGTAAAGGTAAGTGAGTGCTTTTTGTCTAAGCAATGACTTTTTCTTTCGTAGAAGGTGGCAGAGGCTGAGGCTGACAGTGATAGTGATAGTGATGACGATGAAGATGATGTTCAAGTCACCATAGGGGATATTAAAACAGGAGCTCCACAGTATAGGTAAGTTACTTGCAAACATTAACTGGGGGGACTTTCAAGATTGAATTTAATTATTAATTCAGGCTCTTTAGTACTTCTCTGCGCCAAATTATATGCATAATTAGTATCAGTTTAGATTTTTTTTCAGCTCTTTAACACTATTTTTAAGAATACAGGGACTTAAAATGTGAAATGAAATCAATGAAATGTGTTGAAGAGCTGTTGTACAAGCTAAGTTTTGGTTTCAGATTTTGAGAAATGTTTGTATTAAGTTTGTAAAGCAGAGAGTTTTTGGTTATGCTATGCTATGTTACATAGCATTTTAGGGTTGTTATTATGATAGTGACTTTTTTGCTGCACGTGGTAGAGTGGTAAGCACAGAGAACATTAGAAACATTTGTCCTTGGTCGTGTTTGTAGGGGTTGCCATTCTCATTAGACCTCTATAGTTTCAATTCCAATTGATGTTCTCAAATAAGATTTTAAGGTACCTCAGAATGGAGCTGCCAGTCTCTAGAGATAATTTCTCAAGATCGTGTTTAGGCATTTGTACCATACAAGACATTTTTTGCTACTGCTATTGTCTCATATTTCTTCTTTTCTTGATAAAAGGCTAGTTTTTTCACTAAACACTTTTGCACAGTGTTATTTTAGCCAAAACTACGTAATACTACTTTTCATTACATGTAAATTTTCTGAGGGAAATAGTTTGGTTCCTTGTCTTTGCAGCTGTAAAACATGCTTATTAAAACCAGAGTTACTAGGGCATAATTTTTTAATAGTATGACACATCTGCAGGTGGGTCTGACTCAGGTGTATATTTTGCTTTTAACTTGAGAATGCAGGTGACTTATTCATTTTTAAAACATGTCTTAAACTTCCAGTATTTCATATCCTAAACTAACTATGCAAATCAATGGTGTACAAAAATAACTATTCTTTCAGTTCTTTGCTTTCAATAACTTGCAGTATACTTGTGGTGTAGGCAGCGACCTCAAATTTTGTGAGACTAAAGCAAAACTGGATTTATGCTCTCAGTGGATTTGCTGATGCTCTTTCCATGAATACAGAAAACAATGAGCAGATGATCCTAAATTTAATTAGTGTGGAAAGTTTTATGTAGAAATGATTGTTTTCTGTAAAATCTTTTTTTTCTGGGCAAATTGGACAGAAAGTTCAGAGCAGGGCAGTAATCTAAAACAAACTCAGCATTCCCGTTTGTTTTAACTTCAGTATAACAAGTTCCTTTTATAGGATTGTATGATTTTTCATATCTAGTCAACTGCTCAGTAAAACAGAAAACATAAGAATTGTTTGACAAAGTAATGTACAGATTAGAAGGTTAAATGTTTTGTGTCAATTTTGTACTGTCTGGCACGTGAATGAAGATTAAAACTGCATGGAAGTGGAACTGTAACCTGTAGACTGCCTTCTAATTACATGCCAATCTCATGTTTATGGGTAGATACCACCTGGAAGAATAAGCTACATGGCATACAAATGGTAGTGAAAGCTAACTCTTAATGTTCTAAATGAACAGTACTGTAATTTGTAAGGTAGTTAAATCAGTTCTGTATCTAGATTTCTTGAGTGCATTTTTATGCAGGAAGTTCTCAAGTATTTTAGAAAGTGAGCTGTTACATACTTCTCTGTCGGTCACAAGGATGGATGATTGCTTAGAAGTACACCGTAACAGCCTATCAGTCATTGTAGAGAATTGCTTGTATTTTCCACTTCTGTACAGACTAAATGGAATAACTATTAAAAGAGAAAAGGGTGTCTAAACGTGGTTTCTTTTATTTTTTAGTTTATTTTGTTTTTATTCTGATCCCCAGAGTGTCAGCTGTATCCCTAAATGAAGTTCATTTTTCCTTTTTCTCTTCTTCTGGTTCTGTCCATTCTTGTTTCTATCAAGGTCTTTACCCTTTCAACTCAGGAAGAGTGACTGGGACTTGCTTCACAACTGTTTATTAGTTGGAGAAGTTGCTACTGAGCATAGAAAGGTACACTCTCTTCCTCCTAGGCTGATCTCTTTACTTTTACAGTGTTGCCAGCTTGGAAAGCTAGAGATTCAGGATGGCGATTGAGCCTGGGTCCAGTTTGTTTCTGGATCTAGCTAACTCTTGTTTAGTGTTTTCTTCTGCTTCAAGAGTTTTCTCTGTCTAATTCAGTTTTTTGTTAATTTTTTTAAGTTATGGAGCGGCACCCGTGAATCTTAATATTAAGACAGGAGGACGAGCTTATGGATCTTCTGGTAAGAAAATTTACAAAGTAATATTAGTAAAAATGAAAAAAAAAGTTTGATTCTTTTAAATTAAGGAAATACTTCTGGCTTCCAGAACTTCTTGATAAATTTAAATCTGACTTATTTCTATTTTAAGTGTGTTACAACTGTTAACAGAAGGCTCCAACTTTCTAACTTTTCTTCACAGGTGCAAAAGTTAAAGGGGTGGATCTAGATGCACCAGGGAGTATTAATGGTGTGCCACTTCTGGAAGTAGATTTAGATTCTTTTGAAGATAAACCTTGGAGAAAGCCAGGTAATGCTCTGGTTTGCGTTAACTGATATATAGGTATTCGGTAGGTTATTTTAATTCCTGTTTACTGCATATAGATGTTATATATCTTATAGCTGGAAGATACTGTACAATATAACTTGGAAAAAACAGCAAAGTTACTTGTTGCCTTTGTGCTGTGCCACAAGAGTGTGTGGGTGTGCCATGCTTCTTAGTATACATCCCGCACATATATTCACAAAAAGAGAGACTGTAGGACTTGCCTTTTGTTTTTCTTTAAATATGTGTATATTCTGAACTCTCTTTGAAAGTCTGTATTTCTGTGGAAATTACTGCCTTTGGTCTGGGCCATAGGACAGAAGATAAAGCAGAACAGAAGATAGTTCTAGCGGGTTTCAGCATCAATAATGGCAAAACTTAGCTGTGTGTTGTGCTTGTGCATAGTTGTCTATAAGCTTTCAAGAAGAGGCCGGTGCCACACGGACTTTCCATAAGTCTCCTGTGTGTATGGTCTGATTGGCTCAAGGGATTTGGACAGACTTGTCTAATCCTAGCATTCGGGTTTTTTAAGTGGAGATACATCTTGCTGCTGTATATAGTTTTTTAAAGGTTTGTATATTGCTTTGACAATGCAAAAAGTGTCAACAAAATGAAAAAAAGAAGCGTTTGATAATATTCTGGTGTTTGAACTGTTAGCTATTTGGAATATATTGTGTGCGTTTGAGTTATATTTTACAATAAAAGTAATTGTGGCATTAAGTAAAAGTAAGAGGCGAAATGAGGAGTTGAATACAGAATAAGCAAAAGGGAGCAGTTCTTCACTGGACATACACCAAACCTGTATGTCTTATATTTAGCCTATTGTAAAGATACAGAGATTTTAATATATCTACTCTTGATCCCTGAAACAGGATGCTAGGCAAGATACCTGACGAAATTTTAATGTTTTTGTAATCTTAGCCATGAATACTCGTGTCTTTTATCAGTGTAAGACCATATTATACATTTCAGTAGTATGCTTTTAGATCAACATCTAATCCGTTTTGATGTTATAAATAGCGATGTATTTATGTTCAGTGAAGAAAGGATTAGCTTTGTAATGTCCTAAAACCCTACGCTTTTCTATTTAAAGGGGCTGATCTCTCTGACTATTTCAACTATGGCTTCAATGAAGATACCTGGAAGGCTTACTGTGAAAAACAAAAGAGAATACGAATGGGTCTTGAAATTTTACCAGTTACCTCAACCACAAGTAAAATTACGGTAATTAGTGCAGCTTCTGTGGCATTCTATGTTCTACGTGCTTTTTTCCCTGTGAAGCTGCTTGTGTGTTGTAAGCTTGCTCTGCTCAGTTCAGCGTGTGTGTGTGCGCATGCATGTCAAAGAGTTTGCACCTAACTGCATCCTGAGCCTAGAGTGTTCCTGTGTTGCTTCACTGGCGATTTGTGTGGATAGCGTGACAGACTAGCTACAGCCAGATTGCATCTGTACCATTATTCAGATTGTGGCCCATCACTTAAGATTTGTACGGTATCTTAATGGGCAATGTGTTATTTAACTTAGGCTGAAGACAAGGCTATGGAAGTAAGACCAAGTGCAGAGATTCTCGATGGCAGATACCATCTTTTTAAGGTGAATTTTAGTAAACTTTTGTTGGTTGCTCTCATTTTTGTTGAGTATTGCTTCCCATACCACCACAGACTGATAGAAGAACAACTGACATGGACATTAGCCAGTATTTCAAACTCTCGTCTTACATCAGTGACTTTCTGCGTGTGTCACAAAATGATTAAAAAGTATTATTTTGTTCGTCACCCTGCTGCAAGCATGTGAGTTAGTGGCCTGGTGAGCTAACAAATTTCCCAGTAAAACTAATTTTTCTTTATGTGACAGTTTATTTTTAGTTGTAGTGCATTTGTTTGTGCAGATTTAAGAATTTGTGCAGATGTGCTGGGGAGGCTTTTTTAGATCATGGCTTGTTTATTTTTCCTGTGACCTTGTAGCCCTTCCTATGTTTTGTAGCACTTATCCTTGGCAACTTTGAGATGTGAAAATCGATCTTCCATATTTTTGTGTTGTCCTTTTGGGGTTAGATTACAATAAATCAAGTTATAGATAATATTTTTCCATTCAGAAATGCTGATTTTCAGAGAGGAAAAAAAAGTGCCAGCATTTGTCTGAAGGATTGAATATTTTCTTGAACTTCTTGTTTTCTCATTTACTCTTTCATTTTGATAACAAAGTTGAAATTAAAGTACAACTGTTATTTAATTTGTTTATTTTTGCCCTGGTTTTGTTGTGCCTTAGCTCAAATCAGGACAATTTTCAATATGCATTCATTTTTGTTCTTAAACTATCATTAAACTGACTTGGAATTGTTTGTTGCTGTCTTCTGTACACTCTTGTGATGGAAGCGTCAATTGCAAACAGATATTGTTGTTTCCTCACTTAGAGTCATTTTGATTTTATCTTAACATTAACACATCAGAAGCTCCCCTGGGCTTTTTGCCTTCCTCGTTACCATTACAATAGTGTTCTGGAATGGTGCAAATGGTGGGCAGTGGTGGGAGATACGATTTGCAGCTGCCTACACCTCAAACTTCCTTGACCTGTTGTCCTGGAGGAAGAATTCTAGGGGAATATTGACTCCCTGAGGATCCAGAGCTAAAAAAGTACAGATAATAATTGTGTTGTTAAGAGTCTGAAGTAAGAGTTTGTCATGTGTTTTAGGAGGAGCTTATGTATAGTTACTGAGTAGTTTTTATTAACTTTTTTCCACTCTTCTGAAATTCGAAGTCTCATGTAGTTTACGTGATATGTTGGGATTAATCCTCCGTATGGGGCAAGAATTTGTCTTCTCTGTTTTCTAGTTATTCATTATTTAACAGAAGCCATATAGAGTTTTTTAGATAAATACTTATACCAAACCTCTGTATGTATTCAGTATTTTTTTTCATATTTTTGGATTCTAAAGTTTAATTTAATTTTTAACAAATCTTAACTGTTAATGGGATTTTTTGTGGGTTTGGGAAAGAGCTGTCTTTGTTCAGAAGTGGGATTCTTGGAAAGCTTAGTAGTTCACTTGCCTGCAAGAAGCCACAAGATCACAGCCTACACGATGTTATCATGTGAGGGAAGTAGCTACGTAGAGTGATGTAACTGTATGGTTGGCTCAGTAGGAGTGTTTTTTAAATCTGAACTATTACAGATTTGGTTTTAATGCTATACCATGATGGTTTTTCTTTCATGTGCTGCTAAAGTCAAACAATATTTGGAAGTACTTGCACCAAAGGTCTTAGATAGCTTTAATATTGTGTCTCCGGAATTTTGCACTGCTTCAGAAACAGCATTATGTTTTCGAAGTATTCAGTCCAAACTAATGAAAAATCTCTCAGAGTTTGCATGACCCAGAGTATGAGGTGACTTCCTGGTATGACTTGGAAATTAAGTGGTTACAGGATCTCACAGTCCAGTAAGGCAGGTGGAGAATCCACTCAGTTTCTTGTCTTGTTTGTTATTTGGTAGCAGTCTTGTTAGATATATCCGTCATTAAGATTAGGAAGATTTTTTTAATAAGCTTTGCTTATTTTAAAAATTAAGATATTACTTTGTTTATGCAGAAAATTCTGCAAGAAAATCAGTATGGTCTGTTCATGTCCAAATCAAATGCTTGGAAAGTAAATATTAAAATTGTCTAATCTACTGTAGGCACATTGCTTTTTATGTATATTAAACACGATACCTAAGTAATATAACCTTAGAACATATGGAATTTTGCTGTGCTAAGGTGACAATTTTTTTAAAATCTGATTCAAGTTGGACTTTCTTTTTTTTTGTTGGCTATATGCTGTGTTGAGTGTTGGGGCTACTACATTCCTGAGGTTAAACTAATGATGAAACATTATTTTGAAGGTACAGCAGGGCAGAACTGGAAATTTGGAGAAAGAGTTGGCAGTGCAGTCGTCCAAAGCTGAATTCACGTCTCCTCCTGCCTTATTCAAATCAGGAATTCCAGCAAACAGGTCAGTTAGACAGTTGTAACTCAAGACCAAAATACTTTTTATGCTGTGCTCTGTGTGTTTGAAGTTCATGGGTTTTGTAGGAAAAAACAAACTGTCCTTCTGTAATAGGTAGAAATAAAGGGAAGAGTGATCTGAATTGCTTTTAGCTTTCAGTCACCATTACACATGAATGTTGTGCTCCCCACTTGGCTCTTCAGGAAAGAAAGGGGAGAAAAACGAGCATCACCAAATAACAAGGCATCTATAAAAATCCAGGTGTTGATGCATGACACCATGTTTTTTGTGTAGGCCAACAAAATACTTTATGGGTATTAGCTAGCACACCTTTTCATTTAAGTAGGATGGAATCAGACAGCTGTGGCTTCAACTTCTTACCTGCAGCATAGCTTTACCTTCTCTAATATTTGGCTATACTTTCTTTGAAATGAGAGTAAATACTTCCTTACTAGGGTTTCTTCCCCTCCTTCTGCCAGCCCTTTAATAAGTTCTGTCCCTTTTATGTAAGCTGCTGCTCTTTGGTAGCTGGCACTTGGCTTAGGACAAATCCATGCTTCTGCTTTAGTTTAGTTATCGAGTAATCCTGTTCCGATTTTTTGTTCTGTGCAAATTAAAAGCCATCATATTATAAATGATAGCAAGAGAGGTAAAGCAGGTTGTACGCTTTTGTCATCAACAGTTAAAGTTTAGTGTAAGTACCTCAGGGGCACTAGTGCTCAATTCCATCCTTTAAGAGTCAGTTCAACAGCTGAATATATTTCTCTTGGGCAGAAGAAAAAATTTGCTTCATATTCTTACCTGCAGGTTTTTTTTCCACTCTCTAGAGTATTCTTTCTGGTAGCCTGAATTCTTCTCTGAGCTATCAGGTTATACTGCTCTGTTTTCAATAGATTTTAGTATTTTTTTCCTCCATTTTTCTTTGTCTAAGAAGTAGTAAAAGTCTTCCAAATTTTGTAGAAACGCTGTAATTATTTTTTTTTTACTTTTCTTTTCTGAATTGCTTCTGATGTGTGATGTTCTTGTAACAGAGTTCTCAGAACTGAATGTACTGTTAACAGGGCAAGGATTCCAAATCTTTACCTAGCACAGGTTTTGTTATAGGATTTCTGTTCTTTATGCATCTCATTGGTGGACAAGGAACCCCTAAAGTACTTTAGAAAGTAGTTAATGACCAAGGTCCTAAAATGTAGTTAAGCATAAAGTTGTAGAAAAAATGCATTGCATAACTCCTGTGATTCTATGAAATTTGTTGTGAGAAAGCTTGATACAGCAAGGTCATACATGTGCATAGTATAGGATTCATATGTAAAATCTTTGTTGTATGTTTTAGCTAGGATAAAGCAAGGTTACTGTAGATGTCTTTATACTATATTTTTATGTAATGCTTTTTTTTTTTTCTGCCTGAATTTAGCAATCCCATAACTGACCATCTTTCTGATTTCTAAAGGTTTAAAGTTAGCGTATTGGTTGTTAATCAGAGCTTTCCTGTCACTTAAGACTGTTTTATCTGGGAACTAAGTTTACTTTAGCAAAGATTGGAAAACCCATTCATCTTTAGGAATGAGAAGCCAGTAAGTGAAGTTGGTCTGTTGCATAGATAAAGAGGAAACGAAGGGGTACATTTCCATCTGTATCACTTACGCATTCCAGTGATGTTTTATATACATGGAATTGTAAATTGTTGACAACAAAATTGATTTAGTCCTTTATTTAGTACCTGGTCCTTTGGATACATTTGCTTAAAATAAATTTTTCTGTTAAGAAAAATGGTTTTTTACGAAGTGGTCAGCAGAGATTTTGAAAGGAAACTGTATGCTCAAAAGTCTGAATATGTCTTAACTGAATGGGTTATGTGTACTTATACCTGAATGATTTCTCCAGAACGCAGCTACTATTTTTTTGTGTATAAAACCGTGTGTTACTGCTTTCTTTATAACAAGCGGTTTTTTTATGGGGTTGGACTTTTTTTTCTTTAATGAAAGAGTTAAATTTGGGTAGGCAGAAATTTTTCAGCAAACCAACTCTTTGATAATTTAAAAGAATTGCCTTTATGCCATGAGGCATTTCCAGTAGCTTTGTTGTGAAATTGCTGGAAGCATTTCTCATGTAGCGGTAAAGCTTCTCTCGGCTTCTAGCAGTCTTTGATAGATTTGATGAAAGGGAGGAAGAACTGATGTAGCTGGATGTGGCAGCATTAGTGTGGGGATTGGTAAGGAGCTGGGTATGAGGAGAAGAGTGAGTCAAAGAGCAGAAGAGATGGAGCCAAAAAGAAATACCTAGGTAATTTATCTCACCGAAAGCAGCACTTCTCAGGCACAGACAAGCACTGCCTTTTGAAAAGCTATTTCAGGCATCAGAAGGTGGCAGGAACAGTTACAGGAGGGACAGATCATCCTAATTAAAGTAAGGGGGGGAAAAAATTGAGTATGATCCTAATTTAACATTTTAATTCCACATTTAATTGAACATTTAATTCCACATTGCAGTCCTAGTCAGGACTGCAACATAACTTTGTGGAAGATTTTTACACATAGATATTGCAGTACATGTTTCTCTTTAGTGGGAAGTCTGAGGACAGATTGTAGGTTTTGCGCTTTTTTTTAACCTTCATTTATATGTAAAGAAGAAGAAGAATGATTACGTGACTACCGCTTTTGTTTTTTTAGTTTAAGTACAGTAGATATTTGCATATGATTGCAGTTGAAATTCTCAAAAAAATAATCTCTTAAGTCTGTCAGTAATATTACTCATTACCAAAGTGAAGGTTGTAGTTTGCAAAATAGAAACAAAGTTATTGCTTACCAGCAAATAAAAGTTACTGTTTCACTAGACATGCATCCTAAATGTTTAATTCAAAGACAGATTTGGTGCTTGTTCATACAGTGTGTCTGTGTGAGAAGTTTTGCTTGAATTTTTAAACCATGACTGTCTTAATTAGAGCTGAGCTATTAGTTGTTTAAAAATGACACCTAAATCTCTTGTCCTGATTCTGTGATATTTAAGGCTGTTGAATAGCATAAAGTGTTGTGTAACCCTGAAGGAGGAGTCAGAATCTGATGGAAAGTGGTTTAGTAAATACACATCATAAAAACAATATGATGTAAAGTAAAATGTTTGTTCTCTACAGGAAATTAAACATTTGTTGTGTGCGTAGTCACAATTAGGGTAAAAACCTGAAGGAGTGTCTTTTGAGTATAGTGTTTTGTATGAAGAAGATTTGATGTGTTTCAGAGGTGTCCTAGACATCTCACTGGTTTTTAGATCAGTGCTTTTCCTTATGTAATTTTTCAAGGACTATAAGATAGTATCTCCTTAGTGGCAGAGAAATAAACAAAAGTTTCATTCACAAGCTGGATGCAAAAAGTGGTATTTTCTCATTCTGGTAACATCTAGAATAGCTCTCCATCACAAAACTCAGTTCTATCAGAAACTCTTAGTTTTCTGACCTCCGTTTATGTTTTGGGGTTTATTACTAAAGAATACATTGCATCTAAGTGAATTTTGCTTTCAGAGAAATTAGCCTGTCAGTGTGATGAGCTGTTTATCAGCTTTGTCTGTCCTTGGGCCTGTCTGCAAAAAGAATTTTTACAGAAAATGGATTACATTTTGCTTTCAGATATATTAGCCTGTCAATGTAGTGGGCTGTTTATCAGCTTTTGCTGTGCTTGGCCCTTAATGTAAACAGAATTTTTATAGCAAATGGATTTGTGATGTGTCATTACTATGAAAAAATACAGGTTTCTTTTGTTTAATGCGCTAGCCTTGGGAGATCAAATGATGAAAACTCAGATATTATTTTGAAAAAATGTCTATTTCATCTGTCGGTGATTTCTGTATTACATTTGTTTGCTTTGTAGTTAGCGGTAAGTGAGTGTTACAAAGTTGAGGCTGTCCTCAAGAGAAGGGAAAATAAAGCATGAAGCACAAGACAAAAGGGAACACAAGAACATGATAAATAAAGTGTACTGTAATTCTTAGACTAGACTATAAGTATGCAGTAGTTAGACTATTTCTGAATTCTGAAAAGTTGCTGTGTGTCCGAAAACCAGTTCATTATTTCTGTTACTTATAGTGGGGATAAGTGGTTTCTGAAGCTATGAATTTGGAACATAATTGGTTCTGTCTATTTTTTTTAATTTTTTAACCCACTTTCTCTTTGCTCTGGAGAACCTGAATAAACTCAGCTTGCCAACCGAGATTGAGATATCTTTCTGAATTAAATCTCTGTGGAGGGTGGTGTTTATAGTGCGAGTAATAGCCATTCCCTAATTAGAGTGAAATCACTCACTGAGATGCTGGAATGTTCCTTTCAGGCTACACTTCTTATGAACTCTGCTGTGGGCTCATGTGGATTGCCTTTTTATATTTTGGGTGTATCCATTGGGAATGCATCTGTATGCCGGGTGCCCTGATGGTGTAAGGGACAAACCAAGCCCTTTCTTTTCTTTGCATGCAGTACTGAGGCAGAAACCTAGTAATGCCTGCTTAACATCTCATCACTAAGCTAGTTAATGACTGGGGAGTCTTTGAAATTTTCCTGTGTGCCAGCTTGCTACGACTTAATCAAGATCCAAGGCTTCAAACCCCTTTTACAAAACTGCTGAACTGTTAAATTCTGGATACTCAAGATGCCTCTGTTACCTTTGTGAAGATGATGTTTTGGTCAGTGGTGTCATCTGCTGCTCCATTTGCAACTGAACATATGCTTTCTCATGTTCAATTTCAAGCTTTTTTAGTGGAGTACTTAATGAAATCATTATTGCAGTTTTGGAATTAGAGAATTTGACTAGTTCAAGGTATGATGGCAAATTCCTGAACTCATCCATCATTACAAAAACTAAGTCTTTTGGCAGCTGTTAGGGAGAACAATGGACATACCACTATAAAACGTTATTAAAAAAGTAATTATAAAGCACCAGCTCAGTGAGCATCGATGTCCTCTTCAGACTCCAGAAGAATTAAGTGAAAGCTCTGTTGATTTCAGCGAAGTTGATGTCTAGGAACCAACTGGCATTCCAGATTTACTTCCTTTGATAATGCACTGTTGTATTTGGTCTGCTTTCCAAGTGAAAACTGGTATTTTTGTAGCATGGTTGATGTATGTTTTACTTTAATGCTCAGTACTCTTGGACTGGTGTCCATTGCCTGTGTTTTCAGTGCTGATTCAAAGAGCTGCTGGCAGTGTGCTAACAGTGCAAGAGAGCAAGAGTCATAACTTGAAATATATCACTCCTGAGTGGAAGCTCTGTAAAGCAGTGGAGCAAACTAAGCAGGGGATCACCTGAGGAGGGGCTTCTTGCCGTAGAAGAGAGTCATCCATCATACACGAGGACTAAAGCTACATAAGATGAGTTTTCCAGATAGTTAAGATACCAGCGATGGAGGAGAACTAGTGTCTTAAAACTCTGAAACCAAATGAGCTGTCAGGGAAGACTGAGATAAAGTTTTGTTGTTTTACAAAAATTCACTTTTTTCTTTTTTAGTGAAATAGTGATTGTTTTCTAATACCTATGTTTCCAGTTTGGTTACTGAAAATAATCCAAAGTGAGGAAGTGAGGCAGTGCTGGAATATTGTGCAAGACCACTGGGCAGGATTAGGAAAGCAGGTGTTGATTATTTCAGGATTTACACTGTGAAACAATCTGGTTTTTAGCATGATATGTCAGAAGATCAGAGAATTTCTTAAACTTGTATTATCCTTGGCTGCCATGTAGTATGTACCATATTAGTTTGCAGATGTGTTTCTCAGACTCTTGTACCATTTGACCTTTTTTTTTGAACTCCAAGATGTTGTGTTTAATGAGCTTTAAAATCTAGGAGGAAGCTCCAAACTCTTGATACTGAAAAGCTCAAAGCACAGGCATTTGAATTGTTCTCAGTATGTAGTTTGCCAAGGACTTTAGATTATCCCTGGGAGACCAGACTGATCTTTCACACTCTGGTGTCTTCTGTGTCCCTTTTAGCAGCATTGAAGTCTAGGGTATTTGAGCACTTGAGCTATCAGTCCAGCAGAACTTGAAGCCTGTAATTCTAACTTCCAGCTGTTCTCCCTGATAGTTGCACTGTTGAGGTTAGTAGTCCACTAGAGGCAAAAAATGCAAGAACTTGTCTTCTAAAACTAGAAGTTTTGGGGGTTTTGTTTTTTCCTTTCTATGGATTTATTTTCTAAAATATTCCAAAAGTGTTTTTATTCCCAATCTTTCTTTTATTTTGTTCTGTATCATGCTGTTGGTATATATTGTCAGTTTTCTCTACTCTGGTTTTCCTTATAGGTGTGACGCAGATGTTCCTTAGTTTTTCTCATGCATTAGCAGTGTAATTTTATACCTCGTTTCTAGTGGAATTGATCTAAGTAAATCATGCTTTCTAACTTCTTCTCTAAGTTAACCGCGGTCTGCAAAGCAAGTGTGTTTTGTTTAATCTGTATAAGAATAATAGAATTATAAATTATATATAAAACTGGGTTTCGAGGTTTCCTTCGGTGTGGGTCTAGAAACAGGAAAGTTCACTATACCTTAGATTCTTCCTCTCTTTAAAATAGCAGTTCCCTATTGTTAGAAATACCAGGTTTTAGTTTTAATAGATGACATTCATATCCTTGTCGTATTACTTTCTAGTCTGGCACCTGAAGTCTTTATTTATTGTTAGTAAATTCCCATCTTTATTTTCAGTAATTTCCCATGTGCTTGATTTATTGAAGATTTTGAGAGATTGATTATTTTAGTGTTTGTATCCAATGAAATGGCCCTGTGTCTTCATCCTTAGAGTAGCATTTTTAGTCTGCTTTAAAAAGTTAAAAAGTTGCCATTGACAGCTGTGAGGCCACAATATCAGATGGTTTTGGGGACTTAAAGATACCTCTCAACAGACTATGAATATGTATAGGGGTACTTTATAGTAGGAACAACTTAAATCTAACAGGCATAAGCTTAAGAGATTGACTGGTTGAGACATAGAAGGGAGATACATTTGCATGTAGAAGTCAGACATTAACTGCAGTGTGGACTGGAATGATTTGTTTGTAGTGAACTGAAATCACTGAAAATTTTAAATCTAGATTACTTTTTTCTTAATAAGATGCACTCCTTCAAGTTAATAATTAACTATTAATAATCATACGTGTTGAGAAAGAGGTCTTGGAGTTACCGTTGCTGCTTCCTAAAATGTGGGGAAGCCACAGTGTTCGCCCAAATTAAGGAAATGGAATGGGAGTCATCGTTAGCAGTGGGGAACAAACTGGGAAAGGTCATTGTGGTGGTACATAAAGCTGTGATGCATGGAGACCTAAACCTGTGGTTCTGTTTGTGGCAGACAAGAGAAGATATAGTAGAGGTAGGAAGGATCCACAGAAGGATAAAGTAAATAATGAAAGTTAGAGTCGTTTCTGTATGAGGAGAGAGGTGGAGTAGTTCACCTTGGGAAAGAGACAGTTGAGAAGAGATGAAACAGATACGATGAGTACTGAACTGCCGGGGAACAGGGATATTTTATTTTTTATTATTTTTTGTCAACACAAGGACTGTCAGGCACCACATAAAATTTTCAGGCAAAAAAAGTAACTGAAACAGATCTCATTGCTGGAGATCAAAAGTAGAAGTGTGTCCAACAGAGATAGTGCAAGTTAGTCAATGCCTGTTTAACAGAATTGCATGGGAATTCCTTAAATTTTTGACGGGCAGAAACTTAGAGGAAAAGAATGTGTGCATGCATGTCACTCTTCTTGTAGTTTTAAAAAAATCTATTATTAACTGCTTCTTTCCTTTATGATCTGTTGCCTAATTAGACTGTAAGGGAGACTGAGACAGGGCCTCTGCTGCTGTTGCCAGTTTCTTTCAAGAAGGTGGAGGCAGTGCTTAGCTGTGCGAATGTTGCAGAGAGGCCTTTCGCGTTTGGAAAACTGAGGAACAGAAGCGTGAATGGCTGGGCTGAGATTCCTTTGAGTTTCATGCAAGGTTTAATATAAGAGTCAGTGTCTACTAGTTCCATATACTTTCTGTTTGAAACTAGGGCTGTATATTCCAAGATAAGAGAAGTGGTGGCTGGTTTTGTTCAATATGTGCTGTGATCATACGTGTGGTAGGCTTGGCTTGTGTTTATTTCTGCTTCCTAACTTACTTTTATTTGATCTTCCATGGAATTCTCCAGTATAGTTTCTTGCAGTTTAAATTTTTTTTCCAATGATTGGCTTACAACTATTTCAATTTACATTTTTGTAGAAGTTCTTTTTAATGTATTTTTTCGTACTGAAGTTTTTTGTGATCTCTGTAATTTTTTTGGTGTGTTTTTTTTGTCTTTTACCAGTTACGGAAGTGTAGATTTATGATCTTGTAGGGGATGGAAGGGAGAATATGGATAATCAGCCTTTGTCCTACAGGAGTCTTTATTGCTGCGTTGTTTAGTTTTAAATACTTGCATAGTTCTGCAGTTTTATCACATCTGAAATTCAGAAACGGTCCTTTATGTGTTATACAGGAGAAGTCCGTAAGAGTTTCTTTCTCTTTTATTTTTCTTTCCCTTTTCTAATTCTGCTTGTTGATTGTGATTTTTCCTGTGTTGCAGGCGATTACCTGGCACGATAGATGTGATTGGACAGACCATCACCATCAGCAGGGTGGAAGGACGACGGCGTGCTAATGAAAACAGCAACATACAGGTTTTATACTGCAGATTTGCATGCTATCTTTGACTGAAAGACTTTTTTTTGTTTTCCTCATAGCTTCTGATTAAAACATTTCGGTGTGTACAAATGAATGAAACAGAAGTAGCTTTAAGTTCAGGAAGAAAGTTGTGGCAGCTCATTTAAATATATTAAGATGAAATATTTGATATTTTTCAAAAGAGAGATGTTTTGGTATACTCCCTACTGAAAACAAATGAGCAATATTGCAGACTTGCAATCCAGGAGGCAGCATTGACTCTGCTAGATCTGTATGCAATAGTGTTTCATTTAAGTGACAAAGATTTAAATTTACTGTCTATGTCTCCTCTGTTCCTGACAGACATTAGTGCCAAAAGTGAAAAGCTTTTCATATGCATTTGAGAAATACAGTCTTTTAAAAATAAATTATGAAGGAATAGTTGATAGTACTTTTAAAAATTATATGATATTATTTTACCATAAATTGTAAGATTAGTCTTTATGATTTTAGTCTTTCTGAGCTTGGATTATCTTAAGAAAATAACTAAATGCATTAAGATTGGCTACACTTTTGCTCTCCTGACTTACCTGTGGAGCAGAATCAAGGTTGCTTGGTGCCCCAGCTGCATTTTTGTGACAGCTTACTTAGGTTGAGGTTAAATAGTGAAAATGGTAATGGATTGCAGAGCCTATATTGAAAACACTACCATGTGTTTTTCAGCTCATCTCACAGTGTTTCATTAACTTAGAGTCTTTGGGTTTTTTCCCGCTTTTTTGTGTTGATTTTTAAAATACTTTCCTTTATATATAAATTTAAGATGGCATTTTGGGCCATATTCACATGGCTTATGTTCCCTCTCAAATCTAATGTTTTATTATTCCCTACGGTCTGGTCTTGGACCTTCAGGTCCTTTAGCAAGTGTGGAACGTGGAACACAGGGATGCGCATAGAGCTTAAACCATCTGAATATGGCTCTTTAGGTGCATAAGTATTACTTTCCTGTTGTAGTAACTGGAAGGAGAGGAAACCTATCTTCTACCCTTTTGGCATAGCAATTGTAACTATAGTTTGATATTTTACAGGTTCTTTCAGAACGATCTAATCCTGAAGTAGACAATTTTACCAAGCCACCTCCATTTTTCCCTCCAGGAGCTCCACCTACCCACCTTCCACCACCTCCCTTCCTCCCACCCCCTCCAACTGTCAGTACTGCTCCACCTCTGATTCCCCCACCAGGTAAATATCCTGCACTACACAGAATGTGAAAAATGAGAGATGCATCATTATCAAATGTGTGGTGATAATGAGTTAAAGAGTGCATTCCATACACAGTTAGCTATATGTGCAGAATTTCAAAGTTTTATGCTCTACTCCTGTCTTACATATACCTGCAAGACAGAAACGGTAATTTTTGTGTTTACTTTCTCAGTAAGCATGGTCCTAAGCAATAAAGAATTGCCTAAAGACTAAATGTTGTATCGTGTGTCCTTGAAAATATTTGAAATGAGAAGCTGTTTTCTGTAATTCAACTACTGTTAATGCTATTGAGAGATCCATGTTAACAAATCATTCTACAGACTTTTGAGCTAAAGGTATGCCACACTGTGAATTTGTGTCAGAAGTTGGGTTCTCCAGTGTCTGAAGTCAAACAGCAACAGAAGCTTTAACACTCCCCTTTCCCCTCCTAGTGTGTATGAATTCCCAAAAATCTGACCAAGAGTTGTGTTTATGCCGTATCCTTTCTATGAGTCAGAGGTCTTATTGGCACCTGGTATTTTTATCCAGTGTCCCGTGTCTGTGAATCTTAGAGGAATCAAAGCTTTTTGAGAACTTCTTCTGATTGTTAAATTTGGTTGCTCTGGCAGTTGTGTGATGTTTCCTTACTGCGGGGGGGGGCAGAAAGGAGAGGAATGTGATGCTAATGCTAACTAACCATGGTTTTAAGCTGCTATAAAACCTTTCCGATAAAATAGTATAGGTAATGCATAGTGAGTTTATAGAAGGCAATCATTTTAATTGTAATCACGGTACAGAAAAGATAATCTAAGTTGTGTGTTATTATAAAAAACATGATAGGAACACCCTCTGACACCCACCTCAATTGCACTTGGTGCAGAGATGTCATATAGGTGTACTGGACTGTTCTTAGGAAACCCCTTACCTGGCTGAGCTTTTAAGAGTGAAAGAAATCCACGTGTTACAGGTTTAGCAAGCAGTTTTGGCTTTAGCCTTGAGGTTTACAGACAGGTTTATGACATACACTTATTCAGAAGGTCTCCCTCAACATCCTTCCGTGCTTCGAGTAGATTTGAAAATAACGATTAAGAGCTGTGGATTTGGTTTCTTCAGGCCTGTGTTTTAATTGTGCTGTTGCCAGGTCTTTATCTTCAAAGCAGTTCCTAAAATAGAATCTGCCATCCCTCCTAGGTTCAGTGGAGGAGGGGGGAAAAAAAGCCCTACTCTTACCCAATATTAAACCAGGACTACTTGCCAGAAAATTTAAGCATTCCAAATATAAAACATCCTCCAAAAGCCCCTTTGAAAAAGGATCTTGCTTTGAAGTTAGATCTCTTGTTCTGAATTCATTCACTCTTGTGCTTCAAATATTTTTTTGAGGAGCGAGTTCTGGAACGATTCAAAGGGCCAAATGCAGAAAATTCTCAAATATTCTTAGGAGATCGCTGGCTGCGCCAAAAAATCTGTGGTTTTTTGTTTGCTTGGTTTATTGCTATGTTGGACTAATTTAAATCTAAAGAAGAACGTGAATGCTTCTGTTTAACAGGCTTTAAAAACTGGTTTGTGTGTTTTGGGTTAAGAGTGTAGTTAAAATATGACATGTATTTTTGATACTAAAAAAAATTGCTCTGAAATACTGAACTTATGTTACATAACTTCGGGAGGCTTGGCTGCCTAGACTTATTGCAGGGCTTAGCAAGTAACTGTACATACACATCTGCTCAGCCCCAGCAATCTAAGTGTTACTTTTTATCCTATGATAAATGAGAGAGAATTGGACTTGGTATCGCCTCTGGCGAAAGAAGTTTTTACACAAGTAGAGTTATGTTACATTGCTGTGGGCTATTACACAGTTCAGTTAATTTGCAGTATGTTGTTAAGCTGGGGCAATGTTACGATGTTTGATTCCATATTCTGCAAGTGAAGATTGCTTTCTTTTAGTAAAACTTACTTGGGTTTTTTTGGTAAATATATGCTAGCCTTGTGCTAATACAAAGGTATACAATGTCCTGAAAGCAATTTTGAGCACATGAGGTAAAACACTGCACTGGTGCCAGTTTGATTGCTTTTGACATGCAGGTCTAAATATCTAGGTTTAGGCTGGGTGTATCTTTGTGGCAGTTCAACTTGTGGCAGGGATGTGACACGATCTATGCTGAGTCACCTTCTTGCACTGGAACTCAAGTTTAGTCCCTACATTGCAAGAAATAACTCTATTTCAGAGTCTTTCTTAGCAGTAGTAATTGAAGATGCCTCAAATATATTTTCATCCACTATGTTAGTAGAAGGAGAAGGTGAAGGTTAAGAGATTCCTAGTTTTCCATTAACTGGAATTGATGATTTTTTTGTTTCTTCTTTTGTGTCGCATTTGTGTGTTGGTGAAGAAGATGAGAAAAAACCTTTGTTTAGATCTTTCTGTAGTGATACTTGCTAAGTTGTAATGTAGGAGAATGTTTCTTCCATTATGATACCATCAAGTAAATTAGCTTCTGTCTTGAAATGCTGTAATTATTAAACTTGAGTTTTTAAATGTTTTTGAAGCTTTTTGAGGAAAAAATGTCTATGAGATTTTTAAAATTTTTTTTTAGCAGAATACCCTGCATTAGCCAGTTAATTACAATTGTTTGGATATTTGGTCTCTGGATATCAATTGCATTCAGTCTTAATTTTATTTGAATGCCTCTCAAGTGAAAATTTTTACTTAGCTTTTAATCTTGTAATAAGGTTTTTGTTTGTATTTCTGCACAAGATAAAATTCTGAGGAATTGTTTGATCAGAATTTCTTCCTTTTTGTAAAGAGTATTGGCTGATGGCTTTCCAGGAAATTCTATGCGTAGTGCTAAGAGCCATGTTCAGCGCTAACAATATATGGTTTTTTTAGTGTGGCAATTGAAATTATTTTAAGCATAAAACAGAGCTAATAAATTAATCAAGTTGAGAGAATTTCTGATATTTTTCTAGCTTATATTCTTAACATTGCTGTTGAGGTATTTTTTAATATTTTTGAAGATATATTTTCTATGTTGTGGGCTCATGAAGAATCTAATTAGCCATTAGACATAAAAGTTTGAGTTCCCAGTCTTCCCTTTCTTTCAGAAATACTCATTAGGAGTGTTTGGTCTTCTAAATGCTACACTGTCAAACTTTTCATGGTGTGATTTCCACTGTTCTTGACAATGATAGTGCACGTCAGAATGCTTGTGTGCTGGAGAAGAGAAACTGGCTTATGCAGTTTAGAAATTTGGCTTTTGTGGTTCCCAGTCTCCTGATGTTCATTATGCCTGAGAAATTAGATTTTAAATCTTCAGGATTGGACAGCAGCCTCAGTTTCGTTTCACAGTTTGTTTAGTCCTGTAGGATTAATGCTGGTAAGAATTCATGACAGTGAAATCACCAGTAATTAGTGAACACTGATAGTGATTACTCTTCTTCAGTTTACATATTCCTTCATTCTGTCCTTCTGCCAGGGCAGTTTGTTGTCCTGCCAGGGCAATTTGGAAGCAGTTGGCATTTCTAGACAGTGTAATCTGTAGATGTAGTTAAATCTTGCTTCCATAGAGTAGTGTTTTAGTTCTAATGTTGAGCTAATGATATATACATAAAATTAATCATGCAGTGATCAGTATATCTAGGATATTCTCTGAACGATGAAGTCTGGAACTTGAATGAAATGAGTTTTAATTTAACTGTGTCTAGCCGCTGCTCTGTCTGGATGTTTATGTAGTTATGACAAAACTGACAAAAGCGCTTGGCAAAGCATTCTGTTCTCTCTGTCCCCCTCCTCCCCACTCCCCCAAATCTTGCAGTAAATTGTCAGACTGAAAGTATTTTTTTTAATGGAAGCAGAATTGCTCATAACTGAAAGAGCTTTATGCTTGGTAAAGTAGTTTATTTTCTCTGGTTTAGCCCACTGTAATAGTGTTTTTGTGTTCAGTTGAAGCCAGTTCTTTGCAAAGTATTAGAAAACTATGTCCTTTAAAGTGTATGAATTATTTTTACCTTGTAATCATTGCTTTTTGTAATCAAGTAAGATAGGTTTATAAGTTGAGACAGTGTATTTCATTAGACCAGCTAATTTGGTTGGGAACAACGTCTCAGCTTTTAGTTAGGTTGTAACAGCTAAGCTAGATCTGAAAACCAGAAAAGTTACAACAGGTTCTGCATGTGTTCATATTGAGGGGTGCTCCTTCCTCAGATATTTACAAGAATAAATAGAGTATGGAGCGATTTTTTTTTTTTCCCTCCAAGTAGCAACTGAATGATTAATTGCAGCGTGGCATGGCATTGACTGAAAAGTCTGTAATGCTTACTGTTACTGGAATATTTTGTCCATGTGGACCTCCTGTTTCCTATACTAAGCTATTAAAGGTCAGGGGCCAGCTGCCTTTCCTTTCATCCAACTATGGAATATAAAATAAAGCATATATATTCTATGGGCTGTTGCCTTCCTTCTGGATAGTAAACAATTAAGAGTTATGGATTTAAATCTAATCTTGACCAAGAATAATCCTTCATTAGTTTTGTCTCAAATAAGATCCTGGAGAATATGAATTTAAATAAAAAGCCAGATTTCACAAGGCTTGCATAAAATCTTAACACTTGATGTTAATGTGAGATCTTGATCTGAGGATTGTCATTCATCTGGCTCATGTATGTTGTGATAGCTCAATCTGATTTTAGATCTACAGATGATAAACATAAAATATTACTATAGCTGAAACATTGTTTGCTGGTTTTTTAGGTATACCGATAACAGTACCACCACCAGGTAAGCTTGCTTAGAATTTTTTCCACATTTATTTAAGAAATGAAAACTTAACTGATCTGCAAATTATCAGTTTCCTTATAGTTATGTAGATAAAAGTTCATAAATACAAAACTGTATGTATAGATGTAGTGACAGCTATTTTGATACCAGGTAGAAAAGAAAATGTATGAAACTGCTGTTGACTATTGGACCTAATCAGACAGTTTCTTTGACATGTGCTCCCTTCTTTTCTTTTCATTATTGTTTGTTGTTTTGTTTGGTTTTTTTTCCCAGCTATGCAGAAAATAGTCATGGTTGGTTTTTATTAAGTATTGCTGGATACTCAGACGTTTTGCTATGCTTCTAAATTATTGTATTCTTGAGAATAAGGTATTTGATTTGATTTTTGAACTCTACCTTTGTTAAGCTGGAAAATAGTTCTCACTCTTGCAAAATAAAACCCATTTACGCAGTGAGAAGCAATTTGTGCATTATATTCTCTGAAATTTGTGTGCCATTATATGCTTAGCCTAGTTCTTTTATGTGATTTTTTTTTTTTTTCTTTTTCTTTTTCCCCCCCTCACCTAATTTATTTCTACAGGCTTTCCACCACCACCTGGCGGTCCTCCACCTTCCCTCATACCCACAATAGAAAGGTGATTATCTGTTTGGAATATTATAAAGCAATATATCAGTATTCTGTGGGTGAAATAAATTGATAAAGACTCTTATGCTACCCAGTGTTTTATGGACTTCCTCTGGGAGTGAGGAGATAGTTTCAGATTTTTACAGTATTTTTACAGAAATGTTAACGAGCCTCACCTGTCTGACAATATTCTTTCGAGTGGGTTACTTGACCTCTTACTAGTTGAGTTATGATACTATATTAATGCCAAGACTTACGAACAAAGTCAGGTTAATCATGGTTAAAGTATTCTTCAGTAGTCTGAAGGCTTATTTAGGTGAACCATATATAATTGTCAGCTACTGTATTCTTTTCTCTAAAAGCAAATAAACAATTTGATCACAGATTCAAGCCCTCATAAACTAGGAAATGCCAGAGTTCTATGGCATCCAAATTTATATTTCTACTGTGTTTGTTCTAAGTGTTTAACTTTAATAGGCCTAGCAGTGTTTTTTCAATACCTTTTTTGTATATGTGTATATGCCTACATATATTTTCATATATATATATGCAAATGGAGTAAAAAAGAATTGGCGAGCACAGTCCTTGAAAAGTATTTGTATTTTGCTAGAGGCCTAAACGAGGTCATATACAAATCTCACTTAAGAAGGTGGTGCAAGCCTCTTGCCTTTCAGTCCTTTGGCTTTCATTGAAGGAAGGTGTATACATTTGTTCTGTTGAAACCGAACATTCTCTTAACATATAGGTGATGATGGTAAACATCTTGAGAAAATCTTCATCTGATTTAATTCAGAAAAAAACCCTGACTGGGTGTGTTTGATGTGCATGAAAATAAATTGATTATTCCATACTTGCAGCTGCTGTGAGTGCTGCTTGTGACGGTTAAGCAGCAGTCGTTGCGTTTACTTGCAGTGAATATTTATATAGTTCCTAAAATATGATGTGAAAAGAGTTTATTCTGGAGCCTACATACTAAATCTCATACTTTGAAATGTTAAAATGTTGCATTGGCCTTTTGTTATCATTGGTTTGTCTTTTGTTTTTAAACTAAGCTAACCCAGAATATTAAAGTGCCATCAGTACTGCAGAGATAATTCATTCAAGTTATGAAGGAAGTGCTAAAAGTCATGAAAGGATTATGCATGTTGAATTATGTCCTGTGCACATACAATCTTTTTTAACTTTCCTGGATTTTACCTACTTGAGTTGGCCACCACTGAAAGAAGTCAGCCTAGCAAATGTGCAGCTGATTTAATAGTTTATTTATAGAACTACACATTTGAAGTCCACCTGTTCTCAGATATGCTCACGTTATCTACTTTTTACCAGAAAGAATGAGAATGGTTTCATTCATGAATGAAGCACTTGCAGACAATTGGAGATAAGCTCAGTATCTGTGCAGAAGCAAACATGGTACGAGAAACACTTGAAATAGAAAATTCGTTGAAAATACAAAAGAACAGCCTTGATAATATGGATATTTTTTTTAAAAATTTTAAGAAGAGAGAATGCTATTTTCATCTCCTCTAGTAAACATGGAATGTACATACTTGTGTTGATAGACAAGTTTCTTAATTAGTAGTGCTTAAAATAGGGAACTTAAATTCATTTAAAACAAACACTTTTAGTCTATATGATGGTAAGAACTCTGGTGGATAATATTAGAAGTATATATTGGTGTAGGTAGCTTTGGTAAAACTGGATTTTTCACCTGTATGTTATTTTCCACAGTGGACATTCTGGCTATGATGGTCGTTCTGTTCGTGCATTTTCGTATGGCAATGGTAAGTAAGTTTGATGACTTTGAAAATTTTGACTAGTGCTATATTAAGTTGTTTGATATGCTTATCAGGATTTTAGCTAAGAGGCCAAATGGTTTCTTTCAGTAACTTGTTAAGAAAGCTTAACATGGTAGAGATACATGCTGTTGCAAAATTAACAGGTCTTGCTAAATATTTTTCTTTGCTAACTTACTTGTATGCTGAATATCTTCCCATGTGCTTTTGCAGAACTAATTTTGAACAATACACCATAATATGGACCACAAGTCAGGGAGAATTTTCTAAGAAGTGATAGAATTTAAAAGAAGGAGAACATGTCCTTTTTAAAGATGATCAGAATTTTAACCTGCAAGACCAATCATTGAGAAATCCTGAGTGATGTACCTCTCCTTTGACAAACTGTTTGTCTAAGATACAACAGGATAGCTCTTTTTGGGGGGTTAGTGTTATGTAAAAAATCTTTACTTTCTGGTTTTACATCGAGAGCAAACTGAAATAGAAGTTTCATTACATGCAATCAAATAGACATCCACAGAATCTACAGTGTGTTTAGAACTGTTACCTAACATAGCTCTCCCTGAGCCAGAGGAGCGATAGCAATACAGAGATGTCACCTTCTTCCTGACTTGGCCCAAACTGGGAAGCTAAAATAGATGTAGAATCACAGAATGGTTTGAGTTGGAAGGCAGCTTCAAAGATCATCTAGTCCAACACCTGTGCCACGGGCAGGAACATTTTTCACTAGACTGGTCTGCTCAAAAGTCCCATCCAGTTTGGCCCTGAGGGGCCATCCACAGCTTCACTGGGCAACCTGTTACAGCATCTCACCACCCTCATCATAAATAATTTCTTCCTCATGTCCAGTCTAAACTTGTCCTTTTTCAGGTTAGGGCCATTGCCGTTTGTTCTGTCACTAGAGGCCCTGGTAAAAATTCTCTTTGTCTTTCTTACAAGCCCTCTTTAAATATTGAAAGGCCTCAGTAAGGTCTCCCCAGAGCCTTCTCTAGACTGAGCAACATGGAGAGATATTAGAGTGCTCTGATGATTTTTTGTGGTCCTCCTCTAGACTTGCTCTAACAATACCTTCTTGTACTGGGGACCTGAGAGCTGGGTGCAGTGCTCCAGGTGGGGTCTCAGGAGAGCACACAAGCATTGCTGGCTCATACTTAATTTTAATTCCACCATTATCCCCAAGTCCAAGTCCTTCTCTGCAGGGCTGCTCTCAGTCGTGCAGTCTGTAACTGAAGTTTGCCCCAGCCCAGGTGCAGGACCTTGCATGTTGTCAATCACTGCCTCTGCCCTCAGTCCATCTGCCATGCAGCCCTATGGCTGGTGCCTTTACTTGCAGCTGACTTATTCTGTCTCCT